CCTAGCTCCCTTGCCATTGCTGGCCCGTGGTGGTGTCCCTGTCCTTCTCCAGGCCTTTCACACCTCCACTCCCCTCGCTAGCAGCTCGTTCACGGGTAGTTCATGAAGAAGTTAGACGGCATTTTTAGGAAACACAACAAATCCCAAAATAAAACCCAGAGGCTGATGGCCATTCAGTGGCCTCAGGCTTTGATTGTATTCCCTGCTTTTAGGCCTGAATTGCTCAAGCCCAGCTTCCAGCCTTGCCCTTTTGCTCCGCTTTGCTCTCTAGATCCAAGGGAGACTCAGCGCCAGGCTTTGTGCCCGGTGCAGGGGACTGCGCTCAAGTCCCTCCTCCTCAATAAACCAAGTCTGTGGAGCCTCTTGAGCTTCACTCCCTGCAGAACCAGCTTTTTATCCTGACAAAAAAAAAAAAAGGAGGTGGGGGGCGGTCAGGCCCTGGACACGGCACTTCCCAGCCCCTCTCCTGCAGGTGTCCAGCTGGCCTGTGTCCACACATTAGCTCGATGGTCCTGCTAATGTGATCAGCAGCGAGGCAATTAGCGCCGCGTTCAAAGGGACATCCTTTGGGCTTTCAAAGCCCGCCAGGATAAAAGGCATCCAGCCGGTGCAGGGACAGCCCTGCACACGCCCATGCTGCCCCCCAGCACCGCCTGTCCCTGCGTGGGGACCCTTGTCCAGGTCTGTCACCTCCCCGGAACACAAGGTGCTGCCTCCCCAGGGTGCAGGCAGAGCCTGGGCCATGGGGTAGGTTGCAGGGATCCCTGGCTTGGGCAAGGATGCTCCTTGCTCCCTCTCGGCATCCTCAGCTGCAAGACGAGGACAGCAGTGGCTGTGGGCTGGACGCACGCGCGTGTGCCGGTCCCGGGCATGAGGCGTGTGTGTCCCCAGCCCCGGCACCAGCGGAGGAGGACAAGTGCAAACACTGCGGCCGGTGGGGTGGGAGGAGATTATCTGGGGCCCAGCAGTGGAAAAACTCTCCCGGTGTGTGACTAAGGCCCGATAGTGCCAGGTGTGGGTCCAGGCATGGCAAGCGAGCCGGCCAGTTATCACCGCCCCGTGGATTCAGGTGCCTGAAGCCAAATGTTTCCTAAGGGTGCGGTGACAGGCGCAGCGCCGCTATCTCGGCGCCTGCCCCCYGCCAGCGGGGACATGGGCAGGGACACGATGGGGCAGACAGGTACCTGCCCCAGAGCATCCTTTGGGGGAATGCCCATCCACGGGAGGGCTCCTGCTCCACACAGCCTGGGAGAAACGGGCCTGTGGGTCCCAGCCACCCCCAAACCTTTCCCCACTGGAGACCCAGGAGCATGCAGGGTTCCCATCCCCACGCACCGCTGTGATCCCACAGTCCTGGGTGGCTCTGTGGACCTGCTGGCTGCAGGGATGCTTCCTCTGTGAGTCAAGTTGGGTTTTCCTTGGAGGAGGGAAGATTTGCTTGAGCTCCATCCCAGGTCTGATCCAGGARGACAGTGACTGCGCAGCTCCAGCCCATATCTGTCTGGGACTCGGCCTCCAACAGCAAGGTGTTTYTCTGTGCCTCACTCAGCTCCTCTTTCCCTTCTCCACTTTCCTCCCCATGTCCTCACCTCGGCTCGGCTGCACCCCGAGGTGCAGGGCTGTGTCTCAATGTTAGCCAGGGGAGACGAGGGGCCTTGGCATCACAGCCCCGTGAGCCCGGCCAGGCCCTGACCGGCRGCAAGGAAAGCCAGGCTGGGGGACATGGCCAGGAGCAGGGAGCGTGTGGGCACCTCTGCACCAGCCCCAAGTGCAGCACAGGACACTGGGACTTGCTTGGGATGCTCCAGACGTGGCAGAGGCAGGAGGGGGAATTCAGAGGGATTAGGCACCAGCCTGGCACCTAGGAAACATCCCCTCCCCTCTGGGATGACCAGGGAGCAGCACACGTCATTAATGCCACATCTCCTGCCCCACCACATTTACAGGGACATTTGGGTCCTCACGCACCCCAAATCAGACAGGGCAATGTGGTTTTGAGGCTGCCCTCATYGCTTTGCAGGGCAGGATTTGCAGAGCTCCCTTCTCACCCAGCTGCGGCATCTTGGCCCAGGCACCTGGAAGAGGGTGATTTTTATTAACACCAAATTAAAGGTAATTGCCTTTTCCACCGGAGCCACTCCTTGCTCAGGTGAGGTTCCCAGCCGCGCYGGTCGCTGCAAGAACCCCATGGAGCGCCCAAGGGAGCAACTTGAGGGAGYTGGGAGCAGGACAGGGAGCAAGACAGCAGGACAGGGACGAGGACAGAGCTGTCACCAGCACTGTTTCTGCCTTGGAAAAGGAGCCAAAGCGCCTTCGTCACAAGGCAGCAGCAGCAAGGAGCGCGCACGCGGCCGTGCCTCGCTCCTGCCCGGCCCAGCGATGATGAAAGGCGAAGAAGAACTGGTTTGCACTCTGATCTCACAGGCAAACCTCAAAACAGCCACGGACTGTCACTCCGGCTCCCAGGAGGCTCCGGGAGGACGGGACAGCAGAGCCAGCCTTTCCAGTGGGACGGGATGGTTGGAGAAATTCATCGTTCCCCTGGAAATAAAAATAATAATCATAATAAAAACACAAAGCCAGAGATTACTTCTACGCACACAAACACGCAGGCACGCACTCTCTCCCCATCTGGCTTTGCCAGCCTGACTCATCGCTAATTCAAACAGCCCACACCTTTCCCTCTCCCTCCGTGTGACACTTTGAACAGGCCTTCGGAGCAGAGCCGGGGGCTCTGGAGCCCCGTTGGACCCTCACCTTTGGGTCCCGAGAGCAAGATGCTCCAGGAGCCCCATCTCAGGCCACTGTGCCCCCAGTGCTATCACCCCCTGCACACACTGCCAGGACTGGGGCAAGCAAAGAGTGGAGGCACTTGTAGAAAGGACAAGTGACAGAGCCCGTGACACCCGGGGACGGACCCACAGCCAGGGCAGGAGCAGGACTCAAAGCCCTGCTTTGCCTGAAGCAACCAGGGCCACCCAGAGCACACAGACCTCAAAAGCCCCCCAAAAAGAGCCACCCTAATCCCAAAGCAGCAGTCACCCAGTCAGAGGGACATCAGCTCTGCTCTTCTCCACCCCTTCCAGCTGGACTCACACAGCTGGGAGCAGGAAGGAGCAGCACGAGCCCAGCCTTCTCCCAGGCCACAGCTCCATCTACTCTCTGCTCGCAGGATGGGGAGCCCCCGGGGCACCCCCAACCCTGGCAGCCTGCCCGGGGCCACGGTGCAGCGCAGGGTGCTCCCGCACCACGCTCGTGCAAGCCACACGCGTGCATCACAGCTCGGCAGCCTGAGCAGGGCAGGGGGATGGAGCCAGACCTGCTCGCTGAGCTCCCGACCTGCCACCGTGCTGAGTCACCACCCATTAACGCAGGGGAAACCTCCGCACCTGAACCAGGGGAGGCTGCCAGCACCRGCACGGACAGCTCCCGGCCCGCGAGGACCTTGTGGCTGCCCCTGCAAGCCGGTGCACAAGAGATCCCGCTGCAGGCAACAGCGGGACCGGGACCACGCGGGATTAGGAGGCTCCGAGGAGTTTCGGCTGCCGATCCCCTCGGCGGTGACTCACCGTAGGGCCGGTCACGCCATCCCTGTGCTGCAATTGCCCCATCTGCAGATTAGGGAAACTGAGGCACGGGGAAATGGGGTGACTCAAGAGCTGTTGCACAGGAGATGCCGCTCGGATGCCGAGGCTTGGGCGTTCCCCATCGATCCTCCGCAGCTAACTTAAGCAGAAATGAACATYGACGTAAATATTTACTGACAGGCAAGCTCAGCCTCACCCACTCCTCTCAGAAGAAAGCTTTAAAGCAAACTCTCCTGCCTTTCATGTTTACATCTTGTTTATTTATTATACAGCAGATCACAATATTTCAACAGTTTGCATATAAAGAAAAGTAACATTTCAGAGTGCGAGAGACCTAACGTGCCCAAGCAGAGAAATGTTAATTAACAATATACACAGACGGGAAACAGTGCACTTCCCAAAGCTGAGACTCATCTGGGTTCCCAGCTGGAAGAAAAATATATTAAAAAACAGAAACATTATATATTACTGCTTTGTTTAATTTACATCTTGCTTTGCAGAAGCTGCACATAAAAAGACTCATTCTTTTGAGTTTTCTCTTTTTCCTCTAAGAAAGTTTCAAGTATAGCAGAGACCTGGGCATTTATAGCTGGACTCACTGTCCTTTACACACTAAATTAAAAAAAAAAAGCAGCACGGGGAAGGCAGCTGCAGCAGTACCTGGTGTCATCCTGAGGGGAAGAACGAGACAAATTAAAGCAGACAATTATACAAGAGCCAGGAGAGCCATTTTGGGCTCCCAAACGGAGAGCTGTGGGAGCAGCCAGGATCGGACTCGCCGGCTGGGTCCCAAGCTGGCAACAGGAGAGACGTCTCTCCGTGGGCACAGTGACACTTTGCTGCCAACCCCTGCAAACCTTTATACCTATGAGCCACAATCAGGTCCACCCTCACCCTGTTTGGGCTTTTGGGTCAGGAGGGGCTTGTTCTGATGGCTGCAATCAAGACGACCAGCAACCTGCTTGCAAGGGCTGTGACCCACACACCCGGTGGAGCTCRGTCTCCAGCAGAAACCTGGCTGGTGCTGAGTGTCACAGCCCCTGGAGCCACAAGGTGCTGGGATCGGGGGGAACAGGTTAAACTGATGCCAAACATAATCTGCAAGTTCTGGGCACAGGTCTCTGCTGCACCAGCGCCATCGCCCTGCTCGGGGGAGCAGAGCAGTGGTGCCTGGGTCAGGGCTCGAGAGGCTTCCTGAGGCTTCGCTCCATCCTCACACCGCAGCGACCCTTCCCCACCGCCCGGCTCCCGCGGCACGGGCGGGAGGAGAGAACTAGTGACAAACTACAAGCCAAGAGGGTTGGGCAGCCAGGCTGCTCCCCAGGGCCGGCCCCGGCCAGGCACTATTCACACCGTGAGCTGCTCCGGGGGCTCGCTCGGCCGAGGGGAGGGAGCGCGGCCGCGGCCCGCCGCTCACATGTGCCGCTTCATGTGCAGGGCCAGGTGGTCGGAGCGGGAGAAGGCCCGCTCGCAGAGGTGGCACTGGAAGGGCCGGTGCCCCGTGTGCTTGCGGTAGTGACGCGTCAGCTCGTCCGAGCGGGCAAACTTCCAGCCGCAGCCTTCCCAGGTGCAGTGGTAGGGCTTCTCACCTGCAGAGAGCGGGGTGTCAGCGGGCTCGGGGCTCCATGCTCACATACMGTCACCCATGTGCACCCTTCCCAGGGACCCCCACCAAGGGGCACCTGGTGTGCACCACATGCCCTGAGCACCCCTGCCAGGCCCAGCTTTCCATGCACCCCCATCTGTTTGCCCTTCCCCATGGGCAGCTCTTCTGAGCTTAGCCCCACCAGGAGGTCCTGTCCTCTCTGTAGAGCCCTGCCCCACTGCACCCSCCTGCCACTGCTCGTGCTCCTTTGCCTGTCCCAAGGAATCCAACTCTGTGCTCCATCCATCCCCACACTGCTGGGGGTGTCACACTCCCAGTCGGGTTGCACACCATGCAGTGCTCCCCACATAGCCCCAGCGCAGCTACAGGGCTTCTCCCTGTGCTCCCGGTCCCTGCAGCCCTCCCAGGGACCACCACCTGGCTAGACCCCACTGCAGGGCTCTCCAAACACCCCCGGCCACCTCTCCACGTGCTCCTGCCTGAGCCCACTGTAAGTCCTCCTCCTTGCACAGCCCCATTCTGCCTGTGAGGGTCTCTCCAGGCAACTTAACCCTCGCACAGCCCCGTGCGCCCCAGCCACACACCGGGGCCAGGGCTCTCCGGGCACCTCGGTGCCTTTCGGGGCACCGTCCACGCGAGTGCCGGCACTAACCGAGGGAACCTCCAGCGCGGGGACCCTCCGTGCGCCCTAGCTTCCCTGCCCGACCCCGCCGCAGCCCCGGCCGCCCCCCGGGCCGCCCTTACCCGTGTGTGTCCGCATGTGCGCCTTGAGGTGGGAGCTCTTGGTGTAGGTCTTCCCGCAGCCCGGGTATTCACAGTTGTGCGTGGCCGTTCGCTTGCGCGCCCACGAGCGGCGGCCGCGCTTGGGCTTGCAGTCCTCGGGGGGGGCCCCGGCCGGGAAATACTCCAGCACGGGCGAGTTGGGAGGCGTGACCAGCAGCCCGGGCAACCCCGCCGGGCCCGGCCCCGGGCCCGGCCCCTTCAGGGGCTCCCTRAAGACGCTGAAGTGTCCATGAAACTGCGGCGGCGGCTGAGGGGCAAAGTGGGGCGCGTAGCGGTGCGGGGCCACCGTGTAGTGGGGTGGCAGGTCGGCCAGGAGGTGGGGGTCTCCGCCGGGYAGTGGCTCCTCGGGGGGGGCCAAGCGGCCGTGGGTGAAGCCCGGATAGGGCATGGGCGGCCCCGGCACTGGTCCCGGCGCCACGCGGGGCTTGTGCTCGCCGCCGCCCGGGCCCAGGTAGTCGCCACCGGGCAACCCCAGCATGCAGGCRCGCTCCTCCGGCTGCTCCTTCTTGATGCGGGGCCCGAAGGGCTGCGCGGGATCCAGCGGCAGCGGGCGGGCCAGAGCCGGGTGCAGGGGGTGGTGGTGGTGGTGATGGTGGTGGGGGCCGCCGGGCACCCGCAGCTCCGTGTACTCCCTCCGCTGCAGGTCGCAATGGCCAGGCAGGTCCGGGGTGAGCAGCTCAGCCACGTAGCTGTGGCCCTGGCCCTCAGGATAGGGCGCCGGGAACTTGCCCGGCGTCGGGTAGGAGCCGTCGCTGTCGTACGTGGTGCCGCAGCTCTCCGGGGTCTCGGGCAGGGGGTAGTTGGGGCCCGAGGCGGCGGCCGGCGGCCCCTGCCCGCCGCTGCTCGTGTGCGCCAGGATGAAGTCCAAGTCCACGAACTTGCCCAGGTCGTCCTCCTCGCGCTTGACGGCGGCGGCGCCGTCCTGCTGCAGCATCCTCTGCGGGGAGAGGGGCGTCAGGGCCGGCGGGGGGACGGCGCCGGCCGGCCGGGCACCGCGGCCCGCGCCTCCCGCTCGGGGCGGCGGCTCCCCCCCCAACCCCCCAACCCGTCGGACGGGTTGGGACAGCCCCGACAGCGCGGCGCAGGGCGCCGGGCCCCCCCCCCCGCCCGAACCGCCCCGATGTGGGGGGCTCCGCCGCCGCCGCCGTCAAGCGGGGCAGAGCCGCCCCGGTGCGCGGGAGCCCAGCAGCGCGCTGCTTACGTGGAGCATGTCGGCGGGGCGCTCCTCGAGGGGCAGCAGGCTGGCGAAGGTGGAGATGGAGGGCAGCGCGCTCTCGTCCACGGCCGCCGCCATGGCGGGAGCGGGGCTGGGGAGCGGGCCCGGGGCGCGCGGTGCGGGGCCGCTCCGCTCCCCGCGGCGGCCGCAGCCCAGCTCTGCGCCGCGCCGCGCCCCTAAGCTGTTAACAGCGTGGCTGCGCCCCCATTGGGCCAGCCCTCATTGCTATTCACCGCCGCCGGCTCCCATTGGCTGCCGGCGCCCAGAGCCACGCCCCCCCACCCCTCCGGCACGCCCCCGTGCTGTCCGCGCCGAGCCCCGACGGCTCCGAGGGCTGCGCGGGGCCCGGCCCGGTGGGGCAGCACCGGGGTGGCCGCGGGCAGCGACCCCCGCCTCGGCAGCAGCAGCAGCAGCAGCAGCGGGGCACGAGTGGTCCGGGCTGCCGGTGCGGATCGCAGAGCCTGGGGACCCCGCGCCTCCGGGGGACCCCCCGCTCTGCCCCACAGAGCGGGGCGCCTTTGCAGCGGTGTTGCCGTAGGTCACTGAGCTGCGGTTTCCTGCCCCACAGCGGTGCCTGTGTAGATCACAGAGCCGGAGGTCTCCTGACACACTGCCCCATAGCCCGAGTGGGTTCGGGCTGCCAGCACACAGCGGGCTGAGTGTGCTTCAGGAGAGCGTGCGTGACCCACAGTGGGAATACCCTGGAGATGTCCAGGGCACGGGTATGGCAGGGAACGTGCCCACTCACAAGCAGTACATGGGCACCTGTCAGTACGCAAAGACTTCAAGACAGTGGAGACTTTTGCAAGCTGGGGAGGGGGCTGGGGCAAGAGCCAGCACCCGGGTCGCCCAGGGCCCTGCTCTGCYCACTTTATGTAACGGCGTCCATGGGGCCATGCTCCCCCACGCCGGTGCRGCCGGTGAGGCAATCAGCAGCGCAGCGCGCGCCCGCCCGCATCTCGCCGCGCGCAGGGTGCGTGTGCTGGCCGAGATAACTGCCCGGCAGAGCCTGCTGGGGGGCTGGCAACCTGCCTGCCTCAGCTCATCTCATCCCACAGCCTCCCCGCCACGTTTGCCTGCCCTTCCAGGAGCGCAGCATTGCGGCCGAGTCCCCGAACACCCCGCATGGGGAGCGCGGGCTGCTGTCTGTCCCACACAGCCCAGGACGGTGCTGTCYTCCCAAGTGCTCCCCGCAGGGAGAATGAGAGGGGGTCCACAGGAGAAACCCACGTGCCCAGCAAGACAGGAGGGTGGGAGGTGGTGGGGAGACCCACAGATGCCAGGCAGGCGTCCCCAAGGGGCTCTGCCCATGCCATGCAGCCCTCTACGAGACCATCTCCGCTTGGCCTCCATCCAGCCAGTACCAGGAATGGCTCCTGTTACTGTTGCGTTTGTCAAGAAGCAATAGCCCTTATCTCCCCAGGCCTGTCTCCTTGCTCTCTGGGGCTTTCCAGCTCAAGATACCTTTCTAAGAACTCGAGCTGCTGCCTTCGCTATTTGGGAGTCGATTTGAAAAAAACAAATACAAACACCAAAGGTGAACGTACACACACACATACACACACACGCACATGCTGCTCCTGGATCCAAAGCTACTCTACCAGTTGCTTTCATCACTGCGCTTTAATTATAAGGGTGGAGCATTGCAATAAATTATTTCAGTAATCCTGTGGAACAACAACGATTCAGATCTTCCCTCTTTTACCAAGAATCCCTGCCCTGGTTTCCAGCACGCGCAGCTTCTCCGCCAGGCYCTACGCGCCCGGCTGCTGGGGAGGGAGTGCGGATATTAATGCCACCCAGCGCGTTAAAACACATAGATGGCAGAGCCCTTCCTCCGAACGTGTTCCCTTCGCACTGGCAAGGGCAAGACGCTCTGATTCCTTTCAGCCCGAACCTCAGACTAACTTATTTAAGCCCTGGGCTAATCCCATTATTTGTTTCTTATCCAAATAATAATTAATAGCGAGGTAGTTCCTGCTCCAAACTTTCATAGATAAGTGAGAGCGGATGTCGCAGGAGACAAGCACGAGCGCTGCTTGGTTTTCCCCTCGTGCAGGCAGCTTTGGCCRCTGTCTGTGCAGCGCTGGTGGGAGAGGCACCGCCACCAGCAGATCGGATTCATTTTTACGGCCAACAGTCCTTGCGGTGTGGGCTATTCCCCAGGAAGGTCTCGTTTCTGTTTTGGTGGGAGGGCTGGCGCAGGGGCAGCGGCACTGTGCCAGGCACCACACAAACACGAGCGCTGCCGGGACTGGCCGCGCAGGGAGCCGGGACCGAGCCCGACAGCAGGATGCGCTCGCCGGGGACGGGCACAACCGGGGCCTGAATGCAGCCTCGCGCAGCCTCGCTGTGCTGCGAGGAGGTGTTTGCACAGCTCCCTGCTGGCAGGGGCCCCTTTGGGAAGCGCAAATTATCTCTCGCGCCACTACCGCAGGCTGTAAAGGAGACAAGATCAAACAGCAGCCCGGCAGCGGAGCGAGCAGGAGGGTTGGTCAGGCAGGCAATGGCTGAAGAGGAAAGGGTTAATGGTTATCCCTGTTCTTGGGACATCCCTGCCCGGACGGCAGCTGTCACGGCTGCGCCGAGTGTGGCCCGTCATCCCCGAAGCCCCGCGTGAGTCACGTCGGGGCGCCCGGCAGACACGAGTTCAAAGGGAGCCGGAGCCGGAGCCGGACCTGTCGGAGAGCCCGACCAGCACATCCGTRGTGTCCCAAGGCTTGCCAAAGACCAGGGAAAGCCTCACCGTGAGCTGCCCCTCGGGGCCGGGGTGCACCTTGGAGCATCCCTGCAAAGGCAGACCCCGATCCCCTGCATCCCCAGGGCCCTTTTCCCACCAGAGACCCGAGCACGGCGTGGGAGCCCCTGCAACACCTGCCAGGGCTCCACTGCTTGGAGAGATTCTGCTTTGTCCAGGGGAAACCCAGAGCCCCAGAGGCTGTGGAGGGGTCCTGGATGGTTACAGCATGCTCAGAAGTGGCTTCCCCGGGGCTGCACGTGGACTTGGCTGCATTTGGGGTTCTGCTCCCTGTCCTTTGCTGCGCATGGGTCTGGGAGCCTCTCCCCAAGCCCCTTTTCCCCTACTGCAAAGAAAAGAGGAACTGAAAATGAAATTAAAGCATAATTCAATCCGGAGCAGGTCCAGAATAAAGTCATCTGCTCTTATCGTGTGCTGGCAGGCTCTTCCCGCTCCGCGACAAACACAATGTTATCAGGGCACAGAGGGCAGATTCGTTTGCAGCGGCAGAGCGAGCTGCCGTGTCCGCCCTGCCTGTCCCGGGCCYGGGGAGCCCAGGGACGTGGGGAGCCGTGGCTGGGGTCCCCTCGGTAAATGGCACCATGTGGAAAACACCACACAGGGACCAGCTTGGTGTGACGTCCTTGCTCGGAGGAGCATCCTTGGACAGGGTGCTCCCGGGGATCCCCATGCACATCTTTGGGATGCAGTCCCCAGCCTGGGACAGCATGTCCCAATGACATGCTGTGGGGCTATGGGGCAGAGATGTGATGCGAGCCCCCCATGGGGCAGCCCATCGTGGCCCCTGGTCCCCTGTGCCAGGGTCCCCAGCGCTCCGTGTCCCGCTATGATGTCCGCATGCCCCGGCCCCGCTCTGCCCTCATGCCTGGGGCTGGCGGCYGGGCTGCTCTGGGGCCAGTGCTGCCTTGTGAAGTTTTCTTTATATACCCCTGTTATTTTTAACTCTGCCTACGCAAATCCCGAATCCGGAATGAGCAGCRGCCCAGGGCCAAGGGGAAATGGACATGGTGCAAATTTCCTGCCCTTTTTACCTCTCTTCCTCTATAACACGCAGCAACGTTTTTCCTCCGCTGCTCAACTTTCACTGGCACAAGGAAAGCTGAAAGCACCAGGCCTGGTGCGGAGCTGCGGGGTGCAGCGCTGCAATGGAGAACATGTTGTGCCAGCCGAGCTGGCATCATACTCGAAGGGGACATTGCACGTGGAGTGGCACTGCGAGGTGTGCAGCGAGCCCCCAATGATGGTGCCACAACCAACCCTCACTTTAAAACTGTTCCCAACCTGCAATGCCACCCAGTGATGCCAGCAGCTCCACAGTGGGCATTGCCACTCACGGGGATGCCTAATGGCAGGGCTGCCCGGCACGGGGCTGTGTGTGCTGGAGACTTGCTCCCAAATGTTGTGCTTTAACAGCTATATACYATGCACATACTATTTAAATACAAAGGTCTCAAATAATCTCTTCAGCATTGCATCTTAAGAGCTATGCACCATGCTCAAGCTTCCACCCCGCAAGTTTCCAAAGATCCAACAGAAAATCTCAGGCTCTCCCATTAGAGCAGCTTCGATTCCCTATCCCTTGTGATGCTGCTGCGTTCAGCCTCCAATTAACCCGCAGYCAGTGGGCTGGTAAAATCCTCCCTTCCTCATGCACAGCCCAGGGAAAGTGCCTCGCCAAAGCCGGACCAGCCCAGCGCCCGGTCACATCCCAGCTGGTCCCGGAGCCTGCGGGCAGGTGTGGCTGTGGGATACAGGGCAGGCACACAGGGAATAACTTCCCAGCGGGCAGGCGTGGTGTGGGGCTGAGCGCACGGGCACCGCTGCATCCCCGGGGAGCATCCTGCCGCCAAGTCTCCGGCTGTGTAAGTGCCAGGAAAGCCGTCCTGCAGGAAGCAGGTCTGCATGGAAGCCGCTTCCCAGGGCACGTGGTTTCGCTCGCGCTGCTCTCYGATGTCCTATGGTCTCCCAACCCTGGTTGCCTGATGCACAACACACACAGAAAAGTGTCCCCATCATTGTCCATGTGCCCCCAGGACGCACACGGCGTGCAGCATCCCAGAGCCGGGAGCAAACCCCCTTGCACAGCACTGCCAAAAGCTGCTTCACGGTGCTCCAGGAAGCGGCATTTAATTATCCGTGTTAGCAAATAGACTTGCAACACATTGCAGAAGGGGAGATGTTTCTTTTTTTTTTTTTTTCCCTGAACCTGCTCGTGCGCTGCCCCGGTGAGCTCATCCCCTGGGAATACCAGCTCCAAAATAAACTTGCTCTGCAGCTGGAAAGAACCGAATGGGAATACAAGCTGCTGAGCCCAAGCCCAATTCCTCCTTTTGTTCTGGGGCA